GAAAGTTGAGAGACGCAAGACCCAACACTCTGGATGAGCTTAAGGCCACTATCGAAGCATCCTGGGCCTCCATAACACCTCAGCAGTGCCACAGGCTGATTGCCTCCATGCCACGCCGCACTGAAGCAGTCATTCATGCAAAAGGATTCCCGACCAAGTATTGAGTGCATAACTGAACATGATTATTTGAAGGTTGGCGTTTTTTGTATTAAAAACACTTGTCTTTCATTGGTGGGATGAAATATGATAATTTTTTGGGACAGGCATTTTGGGTTTTCATGAGCTGTATGTTATAATCATCAGTATTAAAACAATTAAAGACCTGAAATATTTCAGTTGGTGTGCAATGAATCTGAAATATATGAAAGTTTCATTTTTATCATTACATTATGGAAAATAATGACGTTTATCACAATATGCTAATTTTTTGAGAAGGAAATGTATTTTGACTCTATTAAAGGTTTGACTATCAGGCAGTCTCTGTGTAAATATGTGCTCTGAACAATTATTTACACCTCAACACAACTTCCTGCCTCCATGAATATTTAACTTGTTTATTTTCAAATAATGTAATCTGTTTTTGTTTTGTTCAGGTACCAACTGGTGCGCAGAGAGGGGCGACAATGGTGGCTGCAGCTACTTGTGTCTCCCTGCTCCACAAATCAACAAACACTCCCCTAAATACAGCTGTGTGTGTCCTGAGGGGCAGGAGCTGGCTGCTGACGGGATGCGCTGCCGACCCGGTGAGTGTTCTGTTCCACACAGACCCGGCTGTGAGTCGGACCGGTTCTGACAAACGGTGTGGTACTCGGTCTTCTGATGGTTTTACTTCAGGAGGCAGCTCTGAAGTCTCGTTCAGAGTCCGATCCTGCTTCCTGTCACCGTTGATCAGAGTTCTTTTAAACATCATGGGAGTGTTGATCTGCCACATGTTTGTTTTTAACTTTGTATTTAATCTCACTCGATCCTGACGAATCTTACATTTATTTATCTTCGTCAGTCGTCCCATCTTGTAAAAGCATCGTTTGAGCCCAGTTTATGTAAAACTGCAACTGCGTTGGGATTTTCAAACATTCTCCCACCACTTTTTCTTATCGTTTTACCACCTTCTTCAGGAAACTGTTGAAACATGATCTTCCACGTCGGCTGCTCCTGATTAGAATCATGACGTAATCGTTCAGCAGTGAAGCTGCTCTCAGAGCGACGAGGAGACTTGCACAAGTCTGCTGTGTCCAGCTGGAGAGAAAGATCTCAAAGTATAGTGTCTTCAAATGATTGGGGAGGCTGAAGGTTGTGTGGGGGGCCAAGGCCACCATTAGGCCCCCCCTGGCTCCTCTGCTGCACCTGGTGGTGGTTGGAACTGCTCCCTCCACTCACTGGATCCACCGCCTCGGGCTTCTTAACGAACAGCTGTGAAACAAATCGATTATAAATCCAGTTTGAGGTCAAAGCGGATTGAATCAGGATTCTGTTTTTCTCTAGAACGGAAGCAGAAAAGATCTCGAACTGAAGACACGGTTGTTGTTTTTTTTGTTTGTTTTTTTTTAAACGAGCGCCCACAGTTCTCCCCGCTCTGAGGAACTAAACTTTCTGTACCTGCGTGAAGTTGAAGCAGTGGGTTCAGCTCGTTGGGACCAGCGTGTTGGTTCTGATGACTGCTGGTTTCAGTTTGCAAGACTGGGTTCAGCTTTAAATCTGGTTTGAGGGATTCTGGTTCATTTGATCAAAGCCACTCGTCGAGTCTGCAGAGATGATGAAACTGAACATTTCCTCAGTTGGACTTTAAAAACCATCATCTTAATGTAGTTGTAACTTCAGTTTGATCATATTTGAATCCCCAGGTTTTAAAAACCTTGTTTGTTTGTAGGTCTAAGTGTTTTTTGTTTCTCCCCGGTCTCTCCCAGCGTCTGGTTTTGGTGGAATTGGTCTTCAAGGTGAAGCTGCAGCTCTTTTCTTGCTGCTGCTCAAAGGTTGCTTGGAAACGTCGTTCGCTGCCTCGTTTCTTTTGTTGTTGATCTGCAGCTCCGCTCCAGCTCCTCTCTTCCCATAGATTAGCCTTTTCAAACGGACGCGGCGTCGAGCAGAAACCTGACAGCTGAATTCTCCACACATACCCGACTAATTGGACTCGAGCTGCAGGCCGAGACGCCGGGTTTCAGATTACTGGGACGTCTTGACGGCACTGGTCTCCAGCGTGCGGAGTAAAATCTGTTCTTCAGGTTTTATCCTTCTATTCTTGAATGTTTTCTATATTTTCCATCAATCCGTCAAAGATCTACAGTTTATTAAATGTCTAAAAACCATTTTTCCGTGTTAAAAAAAATCCTGGGATCCATTTTGTTCAAGTTAAACTTCTTGTAATCGAGTAGAACGTTTCCAGGGAAGTTGCACAGGAAATATTCAAACTGTGCACATTTTTGATGGGACTTAAATAAAAATAATTTAAACAAATTTATTGGACACCAGCAAATATAAAATTCATGATGCTTGTTACTAGTATAAGCTTCAGTGTGATACGCGCACGGTGCCGACAGCCCTGTGACTACCAGTCTCCCTGTAAATGGGCAGACTGCTCGTCGTCCTGGTCAGTCTGTAATCAAAGGACACGCCTTAGTTCCTGTAACGTTTCGGAGCCAGAAGGCCTACAGCAGTTTTTTTTTTTTTTTTTTATCATGCACAATTGGGGGGGGGGGGGGGGGGTGACCATTGTGTTGTCAGGGAGAGTTGCTGCTGCGTTTGTAGCTGCAGTTGTTTAAAGCTCTGATCAGCAGCCGAACTCGAGCTGTGCAGAAATGAAGGTTCTGCTGCAGCCGGGCTCGCCCCCTCACATGCTCTTTGTGAATCTGGATCAGACCGAATCACCCAGACTGCTGGGGGGGAGGGGGTTCCTCTTCTGTGAACGGCTCGTCTGAATAAATCCAGACCCGTTCAGACTCTAGTTTTCTGTTTCTGACTCAAGTTGCTGCAGATGGAAGTTTTGGCTCATTTAAACGTCATGTGGTTCTGGTTTCTGTTGAGCAGTGTGTGCGGGTGGGGGTGGGGGTCTTGTTGGATGTTCCTCCACCTCCTGATTTACTCGAGCTCCTCCCAACGTATTCATCTCGTTGTCCAGCTGCTCCGCCGCAGCCAACAGGAGTCGGTTGGACTCTGGTCCCGTCGGGAACAAACGAGCTGTTCTTAAAGGACGACTTGTTCCAAGAAGTTTCTCGTAAACGCATCCAGCTGAAAGTGTTTTTTTTAATGTTTTGAGTCTCTTATTAAACTTTTCAAGGATTTACAAATACTGAAACAGAATAAACGTGACATGAAACTAAACCTTTGGATATTTTCTCCTCGGACTCTTGTTCTTGGTGTGTGGACAACAAACTTTGATCTGATCAAATTGAAACTGACCTGGATGGTTATTGGGCAGAACAGCTGTTTCTGGCGCTGCTTTAAATTTATTATGGAATACTCAAAGTTACAGCCAGTATTGTTTTTCTACCATTTTGATGCTGCGAGGAGCCAAAAACCAAATAGTGTTTGTATAAAGATCAGAATGTATCAAACCAGATGTTTAATTGTTGAAAGTCCAGAAATCAAACCAGCCAGCAGTTAACAATTAGCTGTAGGATTTTTTTGTTTGTTGCATATTTAATAATCGGAATACAAAACAACATATTAAACCTTTTTTTTCCAGACAACCAGAACATCAAAAGTGAAATTAACTTTAAAAAGAAAACTCTGTCCTTCAACGTTGAAACGCCAACATGAAGTCGAGGTAATCGACTGTTGGCAGCCTAAAGTGAAGCTCAGTCATGTTGTGTCGCCTGCACCGGAGCGGGACTCTGAAGTCCCCTCTGCCCGTCCGTCCTCTGAGCATCGTAACTTGAAAAATGAGCAACTTACCGACCACTTCAGTGTGGCTGCATGGAGGCATAAAGATCTCAATCGGAAACTAGGTTGCTTCATCAAAATCCAAAGATGGCCACCGCTGTGTCAGAACCTTGGCTCCACCTTCACGCCTGGCAGTGGAGAACGTTGCTCTCTGCACCGCCTCGGACAAGAGCTCCTGCCCATTTGAACATCTGTCACCAAAAACATTTAGGTTTACTTTATTCATTGTTCAGTTCCAGTCCAGAAAAACGCTAATCTCAAACTGCAAACATTCACTCTTCAGCTCCCTCAGTGGGGTGGGGCAGCGTCGGTGTTTAAAACAGCCAACAGGTGGTCAACGGTCTTCTCAGGACAAAAGTTTAAAAACTGACTTTAAGAACAAAAATACCAGAATAACTAAGTGTTGGATTAGACTTGGAGGTCCTGGGAGTGGGAGGTGTCGGGTTGAGGTTGGTTCCATTTGCAGCTACTAAAAAGACCAGTCACCCCAACATCTTGTGTTTGGACCTCAGTCTGAACATTAAGATGTTTGACTAAAGGGCTTCAATGGTCAAACTGTCTGATTCTGTTCTGGTTACTGCCTGGAAGAAAGTTTGCTGCTCAGCTGAAGCTCCAGCTTCTTATTTTTCCCACGTTTCCTGAAAGCACAGAGCTAGTTTAAAAAGGCCGACACTGAGGTGAAGCTTTAGTTTATAATAAAATGCAGCAAAACGAGGAAAGTTTGTTTTCTGGAGAAACTGAGTAACTGACCTTTTTGGTTTTTGTTAACCTGTTTGCTGTATTTAGTCCACTGAACACTCTGGTGTAAAACTTCCTGCTGAGTTTGTTTAAACTGGTGTGGGTGATTAAAATACTTGCAAGGATTTGGATCGGGACCACGAGGGGCTCAGACGGACTGGTCTAAAACATCATACAAAGCTCCAGTTTGACACTGGTGCAGAACGTCAGTGGATCCTCGGTCATGAATCAAAGTTCTGTTGCACCGATGAGTTACTAATGATATTCTCATGACCTCTGATAATGGACTTGTGTCTACTGGTCCTGTTAGACCTCAGTCAAGCTGGATTTATTCATATAGCACATTTAAAACGGGAACTGTTACCAAAGCGCTTTAAGATCACGGCATCAAATAAAATAAGAAATAAAAAAATGTACAGAATCTGGAATAAAACCATACAAATGCATAACGTAATCAAGCAATGAAATGCTAAATCGGATCACCCTGAGTTCAATGTCAGTGAGTACAGCTGTCTTCAGGAGAGATTTAAAAGCAGAGACTGAGATGTCCTGTTGATGGGCAGATTGTTCCAGAGTTTAAGGTCCACGACTGAAAACGCTCCGATCTCCTCTGAGCTTCAGCTGATTTTTGGTACAACCAAAAGCAGCTGGTTCGATCTCAAAGCTCTAAGGAGCATAATGAAGGTCTGAGGGTGCGAGGCCGTTGATGCACTTAAATGTCAGCAGGAAAATTTTAAAATCAATTCTGACATGCACAGGAAGCCAGTGAAGGAAGGACAGAACCGGTGAAATGTGCTCAAACCTGCGAGTTCCTGTTTGTAGCAGAGCTGGAGACGTGAGAGGGAGACCTGACTGACCCCAGCATAGTTACAGTAGTCCAGCCAGGTTGTAATGAATGCATGGATTAATTTTTCAAGGTCTGATCTGGACAGCACAGACTTTAGCTTAGCTATCTGCCTTAGCTGAAAGAAGCTTTTTTTGAAGAACAGTTCATTTGTTTAATAAACTTAGTCGGAGTCTAAAACTATCCCAAGAATTGGTAACAGACTGTTTTAGATATGGCTGAAGGAAGTCCAGGTTTACAGGATCAGTGACGGCAGCAGAGGATTAAACGCAATGACCTCAATTTTGTGATCATTAAAATTTAAGTTCGTATCATCAGTCTCGATGTCATCAAGAAATTTTAGCAAAGGGCGAATGGAGCAGGAACTGTCAAGTTTTAAGGGCTGATAAATTGGAGAATCTGTAACGGTGGAACAAGACTGTTTCTCAGGATAGACTCCAAGGGGAGCAGATGCAATGAAAATGGAAGAGGTCCAAGAATGGAGCCTTGCTGTACTCCGCAGAACAGAGGCACAGGAGCAGATAAACTATTATAAACATCAACACAAACTCCTGTCACTCAGAAATGAGCAGAACCATTCCAACACTGTAATGGTATCCCAACCCAGTGTTACAGCCGTGACATAAGGATACTGTGGTCGCCAACGGTAACGAAAGCAGTAGGTCGAGGAGAACCGGAATCAGACTGACCAGTCATTTGCTAGAAACATGTCATTGCTAAGGCTGTTTCGGTGCCGTGTAGTTTAAAACCAGACTAAAAAAATCTGATTCAATTTTCATTCAAAAACTTTTAGTTGACTAAACTTTTTCTCCAAGATTTTAAAAAGAAAATGTTTTGATTGGCCTGAAGTTTGAACAAGTTGCAGTGTCAAGTCCAGTCTTTTTTTTTTTTTTAATAGTTACCACTGCATGTTTTAAAAACATCTTGTACCACACCTGTAGTCATACTACTGTTAATAATAGAACGGAGGGTCCAGTTGATGGTAAAACCTGTATATAAAATTTAAACGCTGCAGGGATGGGATCAGCAGGGGAGCCTGAGGGTTTCATGTGACGATCATTTAAAAATGAGGGAAATGGGTTCAAACTGAAGACTGCTGAGCAGGGGACAAGAACAGAGGGGTACCTTTGGAGTGTGGAATCAATGACTTGATCAACTCAATCTTTTCAACATGCCTGAAACTTATTACAGGTGTCAACAGAGGCCTCAATGCTGGCAGACTGAGGAATGTTTAAAATGGTGTCAATGGTGTTAAAGAATGTGGGGGTTGATACTGTATAGGGTGTATATAGTACTACAGAGATTTTAATATATTGGGATTACAAGAACTGCGCAAATGGTTAAAATCATACTTGTTTGATTCCATTTTGTAAATGAATCTTCATCCACTAACGTTAGTCATGGAGTTCCTCAGGGTTCAGTGCTTGGGCCAATACGCTACCTTGTATATGCTTCAATTTGGTAATGTCGTATTTGTCCATAAAACCCAATGAATCCAATCCGCTACTTGGACTACAAGCATGTCTTAAACACAACCTGGATGACCCTTCATTTTCTGCTTTTAAACTCTGGTCCAAAATCCATAACCTCCGTTTTGTCTGAGTGTCGTAGGATTATTATTTTTTTTTTAGTCTTTCGCCCTCCTTAGATGGCATTAATCTGGCCTCAAGTTCTAATATTAAAAATCTTGGTTATATTTGATCAGGACGTGGGTTTTTTTTAATTTTTTTATTTTTTTATCCCCCACATTAAAAACGTTACTAGAACTGCTGCCTTCCACCTGTGTAATATCACTAAAATTAGAAACGTCTAAATGATGCAGAAAAACTGGTTCATGCATTTATCACATGTCGACTGGACTATTGCAATGGTTTATCTGGGTCTAAAGTTGAGTCAGGTCCTCGAGATGGGTTCAAAAAATGAAATGGTGAACGTTTCGTCTTTCATCCGAAATACTACTTCAGTCTGACATGGTCAGTCTCTTCCAGATAAACAAGTTTATCTGGGTGTCCAAATACTTCTTTAAAACGTCTTCAGTTGATCCAAAATGCTGCTGCCAGAGTCTTAACTGGAGTTACTGGGAGAGATCATATCTCTCCAGTTTTAGTTTCTCTCCATTGGCTCCCTGTCAAATCCAGAATAGAATTCAAAATCTTACTTCTAACCTACAAAGCTCTCAACAACCTAGATCCATCTTATAAAAGATCTTATTCCATATTTTCCCTAACAGAGCACTTCACTGTCGGACTGCAGGTTTACTTGTGGTTCCTAAAAGTGTCCAAAAGCAGAATGGAGGCAGATCTTTCGGTTATCAGGCTCCTCTCTTGTGGAACCAACTTCCAGTTTCTGTCCATGAGGCTGACACATTGTCCAGTTTGAAGACTTTCCTTTTTGATAAATCCTTTAGTTGGTCAGCTTGGGTTTCCTGAGCTGTCTAGTTTTGCTCTATAGGCTTAAACTGCTGGAGGACAAACTGACCACATTTCCCCACTCTGCTGTCATCTTTACTTTCTCTACCAGTTTAATTATTTCTGTGTGTGTGTGTTTCTCTCTCTCCTCCTGTATAAACTACATCTGGACCGGTCATTGTCTCCTCCCTGTCCTCTCAACCAGCCGGTCAAAGCAGACGGCCACTTGTCCTGAGCCTGGTTCTGCTGGTTTCCTTTTTTTTTTTTTTTTTTTTTTTTTTTTCTGTTAAAGGGGGACTTTTTTTTTGTTTTTTCCACGGTCTCCTTGGTGTGTTCTCAGGATGGGACACTGATGTGAAGATTCAACACCATCTGCTGCTTCCTTAGACCAAACTTTACTAATCGTCTTGTGTGAATGTTTGGTCCAGTTCCCCGAGACGTCGTCTGTTTTGACTTGGAGCTATAGACAAACTGTTCTTGACCTAAATGCCACAGATCATCCTAAGGTCCCGGCTCAGGACCGCCACCTGCTGCTGATCTTCTCAAAATGGATAAAGGACTCGTGTAACTTTTCACAGCTCGGCTTTTAGAAACAAACGCGAGAACGTTAATCGATCTTGAAGCTCGTTTGTGGAGAAAACTCAACCTCCAAACTTCTGGAGCAGAATAATTGTTTAAACGTTTATTGAGCCAAGGGACCACATTTAGATTAACACTTTCTGGTTTCTGACCGGACTGGTTTTTATTTCAGAGGCGAAGGTGAGCACGTCGATCCAGGTGGACTCGACAGCCAGAGGTTCTGCTGCTGCCTGGGCCGTTCTGCCAGTCTGTGAGTAAAAGTTTTTAAACTAAGCTGATTTTTAAAAGTCTCTCCGTCTGAACACGTTCTCGCTCTGTTCAGTGCTGCTGGCCATGGCTGGCGTCGGCGGGTACCTCGCGTGGAGAAACTGGCAGCTGAAGAACCAGAAGAGCATGAACTTCGACAACCCAGTCTACCTGAAAACCACAGAAGAAGACTTGAGCATCGACATCACCCGACACGGCGCCAACGTGGGACACACCTATCCTGCTGTGAGTCTATGAAAAGTTCTTTCGTCTCGGTGTCGTCGTGCGGTCTGTTTTCAATCCTCAGTGTTTGCAAGCTTGGATTAAACGGATTAACTTCAAATCTGATCTGAGCCACAAAACTCTGGGACCCAGCTGCAGCAGCTCGAGCGGTGTTTCGATTAAATGAGAAAAATCTCCTGATCCAGCTCGGAGCGGGATCAAGTTGCAAAGTTTTAATAAAATATTAATGTTTACTTTGTAAAATAAATAACTAATTTATAGGGGTGAAGACAAAACCCTTTTTAAATTTTGTCACGAAGCAAAGGGTGAGTTTGGAAATGCTCTTCGTCCGTCCGTCTTGTGAGCGTGAGAACAGAGTGAAGTGACAACTTCCATTTTTGTGTCGTCGCTGCATCGAGTGAGAAAAGAAACGTCCACCTAAACTATACTTTCTAATTTTTATATTTCTTAAAGTAAGTTTCCTCAAATGATCGGGGTGGCCAAAAATTAATCTGTGGGGGTCAGGGCCACCATTGGCCACCCCCTGGCTCCACCACTCTCTGGAGTCCATCTCATAAAAACATTAAAATCCTCCCTCTGTTTTAGGTTTACATTAATTCTGTTAAAACATTCACCAGTTCAACCCTTCAGTGTCCGTGTTCTCTTGGTTTAATTTCTTCTCCTGGTTTAATTTCTTGTCCAACGTTTGACCCCGTCCACCCACTGCTACACACACGACGCAGGACGAGCTCACCTGACACCATAGTTTACACTTTAGAATCCTTTAAAAAAAAAAAAAAACTTTTTTTTTAATATGCCCTCCTGGTTTTTGGAGTAGGTGGTAGAAGTCAACTTAAAAAAAAAACCTGAATGAGGGAACGACTTGAGTTTCTGCAAGGTGCTGATGATTAAAAAAAACCTTGTTTGACTTCCACTTAACTCAAAATCAAATCTCTGCCCGTCACTAGTTCAACATAAACTGAAGGATTATTAAACACTTTTCACTAAATCACTGAATGTTCTGTTGAACTACAACCCTTCTATTTATTTATGCATTTTAGTAGAAATTACTCAACATTCATGAAATCTTAAATATTTTCCTGTTAAACTTTTTCACCATACACATAAATTTAAAACTCATAACATGGAAAGAAAATGAATCAAAATGATGCAGAATATCCCTGAGTTTTATTTAAATGTAGAATCTGGATCAAAAGTTTAGGAGAAAGTTTGAGATAATTAGGTATTAAACTTTAAAGTTATTTTAGATTATCTTGGGTACAACAGTGAGCAATATAATTTCAACGCGCTGCTCAAAAAGGCCTGTCAACCAAATTGTGCTGGGTGATTCTCAAATTATTGTGATAAACGATGATGTTTGAAATTTGACAATAAGTAAATGTCAAATTTAAGAAATGTTTCATTTTTGTGTTGAACTTTCTTTTTTCCCAGTATAAAACTAAACTGAAGGATGGATAGTGAGGGAGCGAGCAGCATGTGTCTTAAGAAAAATGGGAGGGAGGCCCCTTGACGTGACATGGGCTGTCCCTCCTTCCTTTTATTCGATTCTCAAAATGGCGGACGCTCGGTGTGGTTTGAGCTCTTTAGCGTAGCATTTTTTACACAAAGCTGTTAATAAAAACATCCGTAAACAAGTTCTCGGCTTCTTTTTGCAGAAAAACAACTTTGACATGAAGGCACGGGTTTCAACTGAATTTTAAAGCTTCAACAAGCCGGGCGTGCCCTCCCCCCCCCCCCCCCCCCCCCCCAGGTCGGCCTGTTGGCCTAGCTTGTAGCTTAGCTTCTAAGTTTAGCTGCTTTTTAACACAAACATGACTTTAAACGGTTAAAACTGATTTTTAAAGGGAAAAGACAAAGTGAGCGTTGGAGTTGAGCTCTTAGTCATCCGTCGTCTTCAGTTGAAAGACGAAGAAACTATGAAGCCGATGATGAAAACGAGGTTGATAATTTTAATGCATCATGCGATTAATTTTTTATTGATTTGTCTATGCTCAAAATAAAAAAAATGGACGTCTCATCTGGAGTCGAAGCAGAAAGTAAAACCAGTCATCTTCACATTTAAACCACTGAGTTTGATGTGGGTTTTAGATCAGGATTAAATTGTGATTTTATTTTTTTTTTTATTTTGACTCTGAATAACCCCCCCCCCCCCCCACCCCCGTTTCTGTCTGCAGATTTCAATCGTGAGCACAGAGGATGATTTATCCTGATCGTTTTGGGACTTTGATTTCCTTCACGGAGACCTGCGTCTCGCAGCGCCTCTGTTACCATGCCGACGGTTGTCCTCAGCAGCAGTCCTCTCCGTGTGACTGCACGCCTCCAGAAGTGCATTAAGTCTTGATCTGTGGCGACGAGGGAACTTTATTTATTACCAGACATTTAACTTGTTGGTCTTCAAATATTTATTTACAGCCACAGATTGTTTTTGTTTTCCCGCCCTCTGGTTGATCGTGTCCGTCCATCTGTGGGACCTTTTGGTTCCCCCTGATCAAACCTCCTCCTGGACGGGATTCAAACCGGGACCGAAGTTCTCAGGACCCGACGAGGAGCCGTGATTTTAGGTTGGGGAATTCTTCCTTCTGTCTCTGATTTGTTTTCCGACCTGCGCTCCGACAGTATTAATGCTGCGTCTGTCCACACGGAAACGGCGCTCTGTAAATATGTCCACCTCGTCCCTCAGGCGAGGCTGTCGATCAGGACTCTTCGATGCACTTTGATCCATGTTTTTCCTGTAAATAAGATTGTATAAAACTGACTCGCAGTTCTTTTTGCTATGGCTGGGACCTCAGACTTCACATGTATTTAAGGAGAACTCAACATTTGGTAAAAACTATTTTGTATGTTTGTGCTGTTGCTGTGAACTTTTTATAGCCTTGACCAGTGAAGGAAGTTCTGTTATCTGTGAAGGAACCGGTTGATTGATGAAGAATTTTCAAATAAAAACTAAATCATGTTGAAAATGAAGGACATTTGTTGCGTTTTCTTTTTTGAGATTTTAAAAACCTGTTTATCAAATGCCCTAAACTATTATTAATAACATTATTGTATGTTTGGCAACACAAGGTTCTCAAACCTGGGCTTTAATGCTGCACATAAAATTTGCAGCCCTTCTGCTTAAAACAAAATAAAACGTTTCAAAAAGTGTAAAAGATTTAAAAGTAGCTTTAAAGTTTCAGTTTAATGTTGAGTTTTGAGGTGAGAGGACAGTTGTGGCGCTGCTCTGGCTCCATATGCTCATCATTCTCGTTTAACTGCAGCTGGGATTAATCTCATTTATCCGACTGCTTCAGGACCAAATGTCAGATTAGAGCAGAGATAATCTGTTTTCTTCTGCCTTTAACCAACAGAAAAACAATCTGACTAAAACGTGGAGAACCATGAACGAGGTCCAGTGTAGCAGTTTTTCAGTCATCCAAATGTTGTTGTTTTTTTTTTCTTCTTAAAGATCACCAGTAACCCAGTTGTCAAAAACTGGTCTTGACTCCAGTTTGGCCTCCCAGTAATAAAGATGTTCAACCTTCGTCTCTGTCCGTGGTGGAACGACTCGAATGTTTTGGACAGAAAGTCTTCAGACTTTTTAGTTAGCCTACTTCCACCAAAGAACTGGTTCTGGTTCATGAAACCAGAACAGGTGAGCTCTTCACCTGAGAGCTGTGGTTTGTTGCATCGAGCCGTTCATCTACACGGGGACAATCACTGACCTTTGACCCGACCATCAATGGAAATGCCAACGGTACCGGCGTGTTCTGGACCGTTGGTTCTGCTTGTTTTTTTCATTTCACTCCAGTCGTGTTTTGACTGACGGCTCTTTAACACGTTAGGATCCAGATCTAAATCCAGTCCAACAGCTTTGAGGTTATGAGCTGCAGGGATGAGCAGAAGAGGATCATAGTATTTAAACCCTTAAGTACCCGGATCCTCCTCGCCGACTAACGACTGATCGCTCAGTCGGAGCTGGACGGTGGAGAGGCTGTTCTGGTGAAGGTCCACGGCATGTTTCTGGGGCGATTCTGAGATGACCATGCTGACCCACCTCAGAGCTCGAAGCAGGAGTTTGTTCGCCAGCTACAAACCCTGCAGCCAGACTCAGGAGGTCCAGGAACCGACCCGTCACCTGGACCTGATCAGCACCTTAATCAAACCATGGAACTCTATGCAGGTTGGATGCTTTTTATTTCTCTCAGCGGAGCATTAAATTTAGTTTTCTGAAACTAGACTTCCTGTTTCGAACAGAAAGGGATGTTTACAGGTACACATCATTTCAGACCATTTTCAGTCGTGTTTTAGAGAAAAATGTCAAGTCTGAGGAAAAATCTGTTCATCAAAACACAAGCAGTAATGTACATATCACTATTAATCATATTTAAACTTGTAATTCATCAAATATTTAAACGATTAAAAGTAATGAACTGAACTGCAGCCAATAACAAATATATTTTTTTTAAAACACTTGAGACAAAGTTCAATTTTGTTCAGTTTGAAGTAGATTTAGTTTGTCATGTTAAAATGTATCTGTAGGGAGACCAAATGCTGCCAAAAACATTTGCTATGAATAATTTAAAGTTTTAAGTTGTTTTTTGTCAATGACTTTAACGCTGAAAATGTTCTGCTGACCATGACGAACTGTTTTTGTTTAAAGGACCTGAGCAGAGACATCTACGACCTTTACGCAGAGTACGAACGAGAGGAGCTGGAGGACAGGCTGCTGGTGTCTCCGTCCAGAGTTCTGCTTTCTCCGACCAAACATTTAACTCTCAACATCAATGTTGGGGGCACGGTAAATTTACTTGACTTAAAAACGAACCACAGAGAAATATTTACTCGTAAGTTCACCCAGTGTCCATTTTAGGTTTTTAAATTCTGTTAAGCTCATTTTTAGTTGCAGCAGAAATTAAGATCTACTGATAAAGGGTTGAGGTGTGTGGAATACAGAGTGCCCAAAAAAACCTTAATATAATCATTAAATAAAACTAAACATTAAAAACACAGCAACTCATAAGTAGACAATAAATCAATAGTTTTAAAAATAGACTAATTGACGGCTTTAAAGACATTAAAGATGATTAGCTGAAAATGTTTTTGGAAAAATCAAACCATAAAAATTTAATGTGAAGAATTTGCAAAAACCATAATGGAGGTGTGTGGGAGTGTGAGAGAGAATATAATCTTATAAAGTAGAAGACTAATTATAATGTACAATAAAATGTTGTTCTTTCGGCTTTTCCCTCTTCACAGGTCGCCACAGTGAGTCATCCTGTCTCACTCTGTCACTCAAACTACCTCTGTGTCCTCTCCAACTGTATCCATACAGGTGCTGGTCATAAAATTAGATTATCATGGAAAAAGTTGATTTTATTTCAGTAATTCCATTCAAAAAGTGAAACTTGTATATTATATTAATTCATTACACAAAGACTGATATATTTCAAATGTTTGTTTATTTAAATGATGATGATTATAACCGACAACTAATGAAAACTCCAAATTCAGTATCTCAGAGAATTTGAATATTAAGACCAATTAAAAAGATTTTTAGAAATGTTGGCCAACTTTAAAATATGAACATGAAAAAATATGAGCATGAAAAGTATGAGCATGTACAGGTCCTTCTCAAAAAATTAGCATATTGTGATAAAGGTCATTAT